GTTACTCTCTTGTAACACCTCTACTCTTCTGGCGCTCATATTATGACCTTATGTAGTTGCGAGCGCCGTAAAACCTCTACTAAACTAACGTCGTCACGTTGCTGACTTAACATTTAAGATTAAAAGTAGCTTGTCTCCAAATGTTTCCAAGTTTTCATTATAATGCTTGAAATATTTCACGGTCCTATTATGTTAAATGACAAAGATACTCAAATAGTGATATTGGGTTTCCACATAAATGGGCCTCCGCGGCTATATTGCTTCAGGTATGAAATTGCCTCAAAGACTAATCCGAGTACGAGTTCTTCATTAAACAATTGCTTTCAATAGTACATGGTTACTCAGGCTCTAGTACTGTTTACCTACAGTTCATCTCTCTGCCCTATTAGTGTCAGACTTGTAAAAACGCGTAAATGAACCGAAGTTCAAGAATATCCAGTTCAAAAGTAGAAACAGGATAGTTCGTTTGTTGTCCACATGGTACAACTGGAGTTCATTGTGAGTCTCTTGTGGATATTGTGACAATGTCAAAAGTTTAACTGTTTTTGTTTTGTTTTGTTTGTTGTTGTTGTTGTTGTTGTTGTTTTTGTGTGTTTGTTTGTTTGTTTGTTTGTTTGTTTTTTTTGTTTGTTTTTTTTTGGGGGGGGGATGTTGTTCAGTAAAGAAAAGCACATCACCGTAAATAATGCCGTTTAGGGTAAGGAAACGGGTAAGACAGACAAGCGGAAAGAACAGTCGGGCGAAGATGAGCATAATCTACTAGTGGTGTCCCCCGAGCCACCAATAAAGGTCAACTTTGAAGAGCTCAGTCTATTGTCCTGACAACACTTAATGGACAACTTGTCGACCTTATTACACTGAATCTAAGCTACGAATCTCTCTGAATTTTTGCCTGGGCATCTGAATTTTAAAAGACCTGGAAAAATCTCGATTTTCGTGCATCTGCGACAAATGTAAAGAGGTGCTGTCTATATAGTCATTAGTAATTAATTGCTCTCTAAACTCAATACCGCACACTTTTTTTTATAGCAAGCACAGTACAATGCTAAAATCATAACAATGCAGGGTGTCGTTGAAGGGGCTCAGCCAGAAATTTCAGGGGGAGGGGAGGG